TCTGTTACCTTTACTGTCCCTTTTATTTCATTGATGGCACCCGCAAATCTATGCCCTCTTCCACGGACTGTGTGATTTAAATTAATAATTTTGTTGCGACTATGTATATGTGCAAATACATATACAGGCTAGCAAAGGCATGATAAAATTGAGATCTCTTATCACTTCTTGCTCACCACTTATTGTAAACCAGGTATTATTTTTTCAGAATGGCAGAAAGTTTTTGGGACCAACAATAAAAATCCTTTTTCTCTGGTTTCGAACTTTTTTTAATGTCTTCTTTGATTGTTTTTATAAATGTCATTACCAGAAATCAGGGACAACATGGCGGACAATCTAATTATTCATACTTTTTCTGGCCCTTTAAAAATGGCCGTCCAATAGAGAGATTTGTATGGAAGGATTATTTCAAAACTGGATAAAATTTAATGTACTTATAGTTTTATTTGTCTAGTGTTTTACAAATACTTAGTGGTTATTCACTAACAACTTGTGGAGAAAAAAGTCCAAAAGTCTATGTTTTCCTTCGGTCAAACAGGTTATAGATTATAAAAGGTTTCTTGTGAATGAATTCCATACATTCCTTGTAATTGCCTTTATGCACAGCATGAAAAATGTGATTTAATGAAGCTTATTGGTAGCATAAAGCTTGCATAAAGAAAGGTTGTACACTCCTTTAAGACAACATTACGTTATGTAAAGTTCGGCTTTGAGTCAGCTTTACGCAAAGACTTAATGCACTATGAAGAGACTTTAAGCTGTCGTAAATGATAGCTTAAAGTCTTCATAAAGGTGCCTAATGCTATCGTAATTGTCTCTTAAAGTAACTTAAAATCTAAGAACAAACCACTTTAGTAACTTACTGTAAAGGTGGATGATTTGTATATCATTTTAAGTATATTCAAATTTTAACTGGATATGATCACCATCAGCTATTCAATGCCCCCACACCCCGTTACGTTTTTGTTCCCAATCGTTGTTCACCCGGTCTCTTCGAACCAAACGATTATAATAAACAACTTAACAACCTTGTTAATTTAAGAATTTTTTAATCTATTTTTCAATCAAAAGTTAATCAAAACATACAACAGATCGTTACAGAGATCTCGCAAATATTTTCTTTCACCATTTTACAGTAAGACATGTGACTAAGTTTAGTATAAGGCTTTTAATTCAATGATCATTTGCATGATCATATTTTTGATGTACTTTGCCAAAATTTAAATAGAAAATAAAATTTTATGGTTACTGTAGATAATCTACAATGCTAGACTGAAATAAAAGATGCTAGCACCAAAACAGAAGGCAGGAACAAATGAATCTGGTCTAATATTATACTCATATAAGAAATAATTAAAGTTTTTCAGTGAAGAACGACTTTGTTGTTGTGCCTCGTGTCATGGCTGCCATCACTTGATGGTGCAAAGCCTCTATATTGTACTTGAACAACTTAAATACAAAATCTAATTTTCACAAACACTGCTGTAATTTCTATATCTAACTAATATTTGTTGCCATCACTGTTTGAAAAAAAGTGATATTGCTTTTGAAATATCCAAAAATCATCATAATATGTTATAAATGTATAAACTTAAAACATATAAAGTAACCAGCAGTTGAACATATAAAAAAAAGTCTTACAATGGAGTGGAAGTACTAATGTTGGGTACAACCTGACGCACTGCCCATTCTTGGGGGTTGTTGGGGATTGGCCTAGTTGAGAACATTGTGTGCTTCCGTCTTGGCAGCATGCTACGCCTAGATCTCATAGGGAGACYATCTAGATATTTCTGGTCAAGCAGCTCTTTCGTTTTTCTTAAACAAGTCCTTTCCCATGGAAACTTTTTCGTAAGATAAGATTTCAGTTGGCGCTTTTCATCTTCATCTTCAGAAATATCACTCTCGTCTGAGCTCGTATACTCTAAAGTCAAAACTTCTCTATGCTTTTCTCTTTTTTCCTGTCCACAATTCACTTTTTCTAACATATCAAGTTGTCTTTGCAATTTCTAAAAACAAAAACAAACAAACAAAAAAATTACGTTAGTCATCAAAACCTCTGTATATTTTTTTATCTATTTATATAATTTAATCAGCAAAGGGTTTGCCATTAAGCTAATAGTAAAATACATAATATGTGGAAATGATATTGAGAAAAAAAAATAAAAATAAAAATAAAAATAAATTAATCAAATAAGTTAAGTTAATTAATTAAAAACCCTAGTTCAGTACTTTAAGTATATTAATTCTAAATATAGGAAGTGAATATTTTTATTGTGAAATGTTCCTTGAATTGATTGGTATTGAGTCTAAGATATAATGCACCTATCAGCAGCTTCCCCGTGGGGTCCACCCGCAGGCTGACCAGTGTGATGGGTGGAAGAATATAGGAGGATTGGATCCAGGTATTCTCCCTGGGGTTGGGAAAATTTGTGACATTGGTTTTGGGGCTAAAAACTGAGGTGGGGGATTGTAATGAAATTATTTTCATTGCCTAACAAAATTTCATCAAATTATGGTTGCTATACAGCATCGCAATGGAAACATTGGACYCTCATTTACTCAATGTACTGTTTGAATGGATTGCTTCCAGAAGCACATTTAAGGTGCTGGCAAACATTTGTTCTTGCATGCCAGTATATGTCTCGACATGTTATATCTGAATTGGATATTACAATAGCATGTGGTCTTTTCCTCAAGTTTGGAAAACAGTTTCAGCAGGTGTATGGCAAAGAAAAGGTCACCCCAAGCATGCGCGTCCACTGTCATTTAAAGGAGTGTGTATTGGACTATGGACCCGTACATGCATTTTGGTGTTTCAGCTTTGAACGCTTCAATGGAATATTGGGTGCAACACCTATGAATGGAAGGTCCATTGAGGTACAGCTAATGAGGAAGCTCATTGTCGGAAGATTTGTATGGAATACTACAATGCCATGTGAATTTCAAGAAACTTTCCTCCCTTTCTTTAAACAGATTCACAGTGATGATAACTCTGGATTCAGTGCAATTAATGCTATGTATTTTTCTGAATGTGCTTCATGTCATAATCACAAAAATGTGAACTGGAATGATTTAACACTTGTCAGCCTTCCAAAGTCCTATCAATACATGACTTTAGATGCTGATGATTTAGGTCTGTTGTTGTGTTGTTACAAGCAGCTACTTGCTAATGCTGACAATCTAACCATTGACTCTTTGTCAAGTATTGCAAGGAAATATGCATATGCTTACCTTGGAAGCGAAAAATTTGGCTCCAAAAAAGATAGCAAAAGTCTACGATCCTCAAGGGTTATTGCTTCCTGGGCCAATGATGATGGTACAATAAACACATCCTCTTTAGCAAGACCAGGCCAAGTTAAATTCTACATCCTTCACAGCTTAACGATTGATGGTAATACCAGGCAGTTTGCATTAGCATGTATCTCTTGGTACAAGAAAGACGAGGAAGCCAAAATCTATGGCAAACCTACACAGGTCTGGAGATGTAAAGAAATTGACCCTCCTGGCCCAGCGGTATTCATGCCAGCTCAAAGAATTTTCAGCACTTTTGCCTCTTGCACTATCAACCGTAATGGCATTGAAAAGCTAGAAGTTAGTGCAGTTCCAAGACTGTTTAACTAAATTATAGTTACAGTCAGATATCATGCCCTTCAGTCAGTGAAACATCATTATTTGAAGGTTTATATATTTCCAGGAAAATAGAAATTGATTTTTAAAATAGTTTTTTTTTTTACATTTGATGCATGTTTCATGGGCTGAACAATTACTGTATTGGCAAATCCATTAGCTATTTAATGTATGCTCAAATTTAATAATTGTTATTGAGTTAATGACTGTAATTTTTAGAATTTTAATCTTTTCTTAGTTATTTTGGTCAAAGAAGAACAAACAGAAAAACAAAAACAAAAACAAAAAACAAACAGAAAAAACATGTATTATAACTATTTACTCTACTTAAGAGATGCATCATTGAATAATTTAGAATATAAAGGACTGTAACAAGAGTTTCAATAAAAAGGAATTTTTACAATAAATAATGCTTTTGGGTATTTTGAAGGTATCATTCATATGCAATAAAGCATTGTATGCAATGTTTATGTTTATGTACCACTTTATGCACTATTTATGACAAATTTAAATTAGAGCACATAAAGTTGAACTTAAAACAAGATTAATGGCAACTACAAGCATGTGTGCGTAAAGTTGAACTTTACGCAGGTTTAAGCTGCTTTATCATGTGGCTTAAAGTTCCATTATGAACTTTAAGCAGCTTTAATCTAACATAAAATCTCTTTTTTCATGCTGTGACTCTTCATGCTGCGAAGTATCTTCTGATTGGCTACTTCAATCTTTTCTTGCGAGTTTTTTTTGCGTTCGCTTGCTTTTTTGTGTTCTCACTTGAAAGACACATCTGGATCTTTCCTCAAATCAAATTTGGGGTTTTTAAACAGACTCATAAGCTGGCGTACTACAGAAACTTGCATTATATTGAATGTCAAGTACTGCTTCTCGGTCTTAATTTGTCTTCTGTATTTCCGAAGGGGGTCTGGCTTACTATGCTTGATACTGCTTTGATATACTGAAATTTAAATGATGAATGGTATAATATATTATAAATTAGGTTTTGGAAATTACAACGGTTATGATAACATAGATGAGTTGTTACAAATGCTATGATTAGCTCTTTATGATGGAGAAAGCTATTGTCAATATTTTCTAAAACCAAACCAACAAACCACTTCCTTGATCTAGTTGACATAACACGATAAAACTTGAGTAAGTCCAATCCAACAGTTAGGAGTGTTGGCTGGTATGTCTCGGGGACATTCCGTGGCATAACGGTATGACGTGCGCTCTCCTGAAAACAGCTCACATAGCAACTGTACTTCACCAGTTGCGTGATCCTCGTCATTCTTTTAGAGCTTGTTTAAGAAGTCATAAATTTCTGGCGAGGCAACAAACACCTTCTTTTGCTCTGAAATGCACTTTTATCATTGCAGATGAAGTGCACCGTTCAAGTAGAAAATTTCCAGTGCCCATGTTGTTTCTTATTGTTATCAATGGATCCATACAACACTTGCTCAAGGCAATCGATTTGCCTGTAGTTGGCGGCGGCACAACAACGACACTGTAAAGATTTAGAGGCATCAATTGTTCTGCTCTTACAACTAGACTTTTTCTGCCAACAAGAAACGCTGTCGTTGCTATCAAGCATGGCACAAAATAGCCTTCACTTGAGCTACATGATTGTGCAACGTTTCTCACGTAATCTTCTACTTCTTTACTAATCAGATTCGAATAACAGAATGGCATTGAAATAAGCCTTTATGAAGCTCTGCCCAAGTACTTTCATGTGGTCTGTTGATCTTTTGAAGCTTCGACTGCGACATAACTGAGGAACGGAACTTGGCGTTGAAAGAGATAAAATTAAGTATTTCAGTGGCCGGGTAGTGTAAAGTTATACCGAGAAATTGTTTGTACTGTGTTAGGAATTATAATTTACACAAATTACGGTTACATAAATTATAGTTTGCTCTTCGATCTCATGCTAACGACGTGTAGCTAGAGCACTATTACTATCAGTGAGGTAAGGAATGATAGATGTTGATGATAATGGTGATATGTGATGGTGATAATGTGATGGTGATGATGTGATGGTGATGATGTGATGGTGATGTGATGGTGATGATGCGATGTTAATGATGTTATGGTGAAAATGTGATGTTGTGATAGTGATG